TGCTGAGATCCCACATCCCTGCACCAGATCCTGCAAACCTGGAGCTCTGCAGCACAGATGGCAGCGAGGAAGGTGCTGTCTGCTCCCTCTGCTGCTCCATGGAGAAATCAGGGATTAGGTTGCACTTGGAATTGTGTCATGTGCTGCTGTGACCTGAGAATGGAGGTGACAGCTCTTGGCACCTTCTGTTGCTCTGAGCCAGGGCTGCTGCTTCTCCCTGTGCCATTTTCCTGCTCTGGGCCTGCTTTGTGGCTCCAGGATTTGTTTTTAGCATCATTCCTTTTCACCTTGGGGCTTTGAGGTGGCTGCTTGCTTTTGTTTGCACTTTTATTTACACTTGACTTTTATTTACACTTCCTCCCTTGATAAAAGTGCTTGTGAACAAATAACTCTGTAAAAACACAATGTGGGTTTGCACACAGTATTTATAATCTCTCTCAGATTTTCTCAGTGTAATAATGTGGATTTTGCTGTGGGTTTTGTGTAACTCAGTGGTACAAGGGATGTTTTCAGTGGTTTTGTGTTCATTTTGCTGCTGTTTGTGCCATCACCCCGAGTCAGGTGGGCAGATCTGTGCAGGGGTTTGTGTTAAAGGCTTTGTGGGAGTGTAACCATGGATTCCTCAGGGCTAATGCAAACACAGCCAGCAGCTGCAGCACTCACATTTTGTCCAAATGTTTCATGGACAGGTCCTTAACTCACATGGATTTTTAGTTCTGCTTTTCCCAGTCTTGAAGTGAACGTGTGTGAGCCTGGCCTGGGGCTGCTTGGCAATTCCTTGGCACTGACATCTCTGAGTTACATCCCATAAGGAGGTGCTGGATTTGCACATTTTCATCTAATTCTGTGCCTTTGTGTGCATGAAATGTGGGAGATCCAAGTAAAAAGCACCAGGCACCCCCTGAGAGGGGATTTTGGTCACTGTGGGCACAGACAGTGCCCCACAGAGGGTGTTGGGTGCTGCTCACTCTTCACCTGAAGTTTGAATCCTCCTGGTTTGAAATGTGAGTTTTTAACATCTGAGAGTTTCTGTTACTGGTTTGGACCATGGCTTTGATGTTTTCTGTAATCTCTGGCATCATTAGATAGCAATAGTTCCTTATATTTTTATAAAAATAAGGATTATTAGGATGACAGCCCATGCTCAGAACATGCTGAAACTCTGCTGAATTTCTCTTCGAGAGCTGTGTTAATGTTCCCTGCCAAAACCCAGAAATCAATTCAATTACAGCCTTTTGGTGGTGTTGTCCAACCCAGCCTCATGAAATTTCCTTTATTTAACAGCCTGGTTTCTGCCTTGGAGAGCCCAAACTAATGCCCTGCTTGTGCTTTATTGCAGCTGTGCCCAAAGTTCTTGCACACCAACTCCACCAGCCACACCTGGCCCTTCAGTGCAATTGCAGAGCTCATAGGTAGGTGATGAACAGCTTGGAACAATTCTTGTTTCTTGTTTCAAACCCTTTTTCCTTCCTTTTAGGGAAAAACCTGCCTGAACCTCCTCAGTGTTTTGCTTTTTGTTCTGCTCCTGTTGCCTGCATTACCTGGGGCTCGTGCATCTCTCTGTTGGCTCCTGCTGATCTCGTGGCTGTGCTTTGGGCAGGGGTTAACTGGGCATCCCCAGTGTTCCTGTTTTGCACAGGCAGGGAGTGAGGAGCTGCTTCCTCAAAATNATTTTTATCTCATTTGCTTCTCCTGTGTTGTGCTCACATGTGGAATGTGTTTGGGGATTGTTTACCCACAGGTGATTGTTTCATTGGTTTCATGTCAATTGTTTTCACTTATTGACCAATCAGAGCCAAGCTGTGCCAGGACTCTGGAGAGAGTCACAAGTTTTCATTATTATCTTTTTAGCCTTCTGTCAGTATCCTTCCTGTATTCTTTAAGTATAGTATTCTTTAATATAATTTAGTATCTTAAAATACTAAATTAGCCTTCTGAGAACATGGAGTCAGATTCACCATTCCTCCCTGCCATGGGGCACCCCACAAATCCAATACTGCTCCATTTGCATCTTGGAGTTCATTGTCCAATTCCAGCTTTAGGTTATGCAATCTGGCTTGGTTTGGACAGACAGGAGTCTGCTAAGGAAGGCAGGAGCCTCCTCTGAAATGGAGAATGTAAACCCTCCCCACCTCTCTGAATTGCTATAAATTTTAAATTAAGGAGCTCTCAAGCAAAAATATGGGAGCAGGAAATAACAGTTCTTTAATAGGGATGGAAAAAAAAAAAGATAAAATGAACAATGCAGTGCACTGGAACAACACTGTCAGAGTAAGAACCCAACCTGACACTCTGTGGGTCAGGGTGTTGGCAGCAGTCCCATTGGAATTGTGGCTCAGCCCTCCTGCAGTGTCAGGGGTGGTTCTGCTGGAGCAGGATCCTGGAGAAAGGCGCAGTCTTTCCTCCAAAGATCCAGTGGAAGAGGCAGCTGCTGTTCCTCTGGGGAATCCAGTGCAGAAGATTCCAGAATCTCCAGATTATATGCGGGCAGGAATGCTTGGCTGGTGTTCCAGAATCTCAGATTATATCCAGGCAGGAATGCTTGGCTGGTGCTCCAGATTATATCCAGATTATATCCGGGCAGGAATGCTTGGCTGGTGTTCCAGAATCCCCAGATTATATCCAGACAGGAATGCTTGGCTGGTGTTCCAGAATCCCCAGATTATATCCAGGTAGGAATGCTTGGCTGGTGTTCCAGAACCTCCAGATTATATCCAGGTAGGAATGCTTGGCTGGTGTTCCAGAATCTCCAGATTCTATCCAGGCAGGAATGCTTGGCTGGTGTTCCAGAATCTCCAGATTATATCCAGGCAGGAATGNAGGGATTTTTCAGCTGGATGAGCCAAAGGAGGAAAGCAGAGCCCTGTGGCTGTGGACAGGCCTGGCTGTTTTGGGATGTATTATCAGTTTTGTATGATCTGTTTTGGGATGTATTACCTGTTTTGGATTATCTGTTTTGGATTATCTGTTTTGGATGTATTATCTGTTTTGGATTATCTGTTTTGGGATGTATTATCAGTTTTGTATTCTCTGTTTTGGCTGTATTATCTGTTTTGTATGATCTGTTTTGGATATATTATCTGTTTTGGATTATCTGTTTTGGATGTATTATCTGTTTTGCCTGGCTATTTTGGGAGTACAATCTGTTCAATCATCTCAGCTCTTTTCACACTCCAAATACTCCAAACTTTCAGCTGTACCTGTCTGTCCTCTTTTGTGATGCTGAAATACATTTTAGGAGATATTTCACTGTGTTGCAATTTGGACTTTGGGTTTACAGGAAGAAACCTGCCAAGGTTTCAGTCAGCAGCCATTGATTCCTTTATTGGTTTGAGCTGTTTTCTGTCCCTCAGCTGAAGCTGCAGAGCAGGCAGGGAGGCCGAGGTGCCACTACATCCCACCCCACCCTTCTCCTCCTCACAGATCCCTGGGCATGAGGGGCAAAAATGGACAGAAGAGGGGTTGGGGCAGCTGAGGTGGGCCTGGCTTTGCTGCCAGGAGGGCTCTGTGCAGCCCTGGTTTCTCTTTGCTCATGTTTGATTTTCACATCCTGTAAACACAAAGTTGACTCTAAAGCATTTGGCAGTAAGGGTGGGGAGAAAGCAGACATTGCACCAGCTGCTCTGCAGGCAGGAAATGAAACTGGGACCTGGGCTTGCTTTCATTTTCTGTTCTCGTGTCAGCTGCTCACCTCCAGCTCCATCTTGGTTTTTGTGTCACTGTCATTGACAATCATTGACAATCTGGGCTGTTTTGTGTTGGTTTGGGCCAGGTTCTCCTGGGTTGGATGCAGCTCTTCCATCCTAACACTCTGATTGACTTTGAAATGTGTCTGCACTCAGTGAACTTTTGTTTTCTGGTGTCCCACCCTGCTCTCCTTGCCCTCAGACAACGCCTATGATCCAGATGTGAGCGCCAAACAGATCTGGATCGACAAGACCGTCATCAACGACAACATCTGCCTGACCTTCACCGACAACGGCAACGGCATGAACTCTGAGAAACTGCACAAAATGCTCAGGTGGGAGCTCCTGACCCCTGCCTGCTGCAGGTTCCCCCTCTGCTTCTGCTATTGCTCACTGCATTCCTGTTTCTCATCCCTAATTCACTGATTTTGCTGATAAATTCAGCAGTTCTGAAGGTTCTAAAGGTGCAGGTGAGACTCCAGAGCAGGCAGGTGCTGCTGAGGCTTCCTTGGAACTTTGTCAGGGAGCTTTTACCTCATAATTTCCTTTTATCCTTTCTCTCAGCCTTCCCTTTATGCTGTGGAAACTCTGTGGTGGCTGCTAGTGGAGCTAAGGAGAATTCAAATATTTATTATTACTTTTATTATTATTATTACTACTACTACTGGAGATAAGCAGAATTCAAATATTTTATTTTTACTATCACCATAATCTTTATTATTATTATTCTTGTTGCTATTGTCGGAGATGAGAATTCAAATATTTTTACTATTATTATTTATTATTAATAGTAATAATGATAATGATAGTAATAATAATAATTTGGTACATGAAATATGTGAGATCCAATTGCTAAAAGCACAAAGCCACAAAGCACCAAGTACTCCCTGAGATGATGATGATGATGATTATTATTATTATTATCGGAGATAAGGAGAATTCAATTAATAGTAATAATAGTAATGATAGTAATGATGATGATAATAATAATAATAATAATAATAATTTGGTACATGAAATATGTGAGATCCAATTCTAAAAGCACAAACCACAAAGCACCAAGCACTCCCTGAGATGATGATGATGATGATTATTATTATTATTATCAGAGATAAGGAGAATTCAATTAATAATAATAATAATAGTAATAGTAGTAGTAATAATAATAATAATAATAATAATAATAATAATAATAATAATAATGTACATGAAATATGTGAGATCCAATTCTAAAAGCACAAAGGCATCAAGCACCCCCTAAGATTATGATGATGATGATGATTGTAATTATTATCTGAGATAAGGAGAATTCAAATATAATAATAATAACAATAATAACAATAATATACATTAAATATGTGAGATCCAAGTGCTAAAAGACAAAAAGCACTCCCTGAGAGAGGATGATTTTGGTCACTGTGGGCACAACCACACTTGCTTTAGTTTGTTAGTGAATGAGAGAAAAAGGAATTTTCAGCTCAAACCCATTGGAATATTAATAATAGAATGTATTGTAGAAAAATTAATGAATTTTCTATTTTTTAGATTATTGTCTATTTAAATATTCTGTTGGGTTGGAACTGATTTTTCTCTTATTTCTACAGTAGCAAAAAGCTTCTGTGCAATTTCTCTCTTAGTGTAAAAAATTGCTTTGCCTGCAGATACAAATTTGAGCAAGCTTGAATTCAAACTGTTCTTTTTTCATTAGATACCATAATAAATCCTAAATTCTATGTGCAGTTTTACTTGAAGTGTGATACAGAAATGGAAAACTTATGAATCAAACTTTTACTAGGAAACAGAGAGAGAAAAAAGACAGGGTTAGGGGCTTTTATTAGTATTTATTGTGGAATTAAGGATAACTACCAGATTCTCATAAAAATGCTTTTTCATCTAATTCCAAACTTTCTATTCCATACTTATTTCTAAGAATGGATATTTCTGTTCCATACTTAAAAGTTGAAAGTAGATTTCCTTGAGTTTTTGCTGTGTGGTTTTAGCAGCGTTGTCCAGGTGATTTTAAGATTTAGTTGTTCAGGAATCTCTGACCTCTAAAACAAGAGGGTTGGGTTAAATAATTTGCCAATCCTGCACTTGCATCTCTTGAACCCTCAAGTTTTGCAGGGATTTTTTTCCACTCTTGTTGCCTTGGGCAGGTTGCCCCAGAGCAGAGGCTGGACAGAGTTACAGAATAAAGCAGGGATTTAGGAAAAGGCCTCCATGGATGCACCTTGGGCAGCACCAGAGCCCAGCCAGGGCTGCACCCAAGATGAACCAAAATGGTCCCAAAATGGACAACCAGTCACAAGGTCTCT